GAGAGAGAGAGAGAGAGAGAGAGAGAGAGAGAGAGAGAGAGAGATCTTTGGACGTTCCAACGATAGGAGCGGTTTGGGGGGCGACGAGAGGAGGTCGGGGGGCCAAAGAGAGAGAGAGAGAGAGAGAGAGAGAGAGAGCAGGTGGGTAGGAGGTAATTGCATACTTGGCTTAGCGGTGGCACAAATGCTGTTAATCCAAACAATTTTGAGCTCCTCGTGTGCAGAGTTGTGTGTGTGTGTGTGTGTGTGTGTGTGTGTGTGTGTGTGCTTGTGCTTTTGCAGCCAATACCAGCATGTTTGTTTGATTCTTGATTGAATTATCTGATTGTGTTGTGTGGTTGTGGATGGAGGGAGTGGTCTCCTCTCAGCAGGTTAAATTCAAGAATCAGGGGAATAACAAGGAGAACTGGAAAATTGTGGCAGCTCGAATGTCAGCAAATGGGTTCAAGCGGTCCAGCGAGCAGTGTCGGAAAAAGTTTGAAAGAATCTGGAGGAAGTTTCAAGATCTCAAGGCAGACAACGAACGCAGTGGCGGCCTCGAGTTCAAAGGGCATGGTGCCGGCTTCCCTCACGTCTACGATCTGATCATGAGTTCGCCGATGATCGGCATGCGTGCCGTCGATCGCGGCACCCACCATGTGCGGGGCTGCGATCTGTATCACTCTGCTGAGGTTTCGGAGTCTTTGGCTGGCGCACTCACTCCTATTCACGTGCATACGACTGCCGGAAAGGCGGCCCCGCGGTGCCTGGCCTTCGGGTCTGTCAGCAGCCCCTCCCCACGTGCAGACCCTACTAGTGCTGTAGCTGCTGTTATAGATGACAGCGCCCTTGGTCGCCAGGCAGCACCCGCGGCCGTGGTTCTCGGGATGCCACTCGTCAGGCCGGAAGTGGTCGGTATAGGCAAACACGACGCCCACGCTGCAAGTGAAGGCATAGGGGACGGCACAGAAACCGGTGCAGCAGACAGTCGGGATGCGGAAACGGGAAGGGATGGTAGCCTACGGACGGGGAGGCTTGGCGGGTCTCAGTCGCGGCAGGTTCTCATGGAGACGATGATGGGCTTGCTCGCCGACCTGGACAAGAGGTTCTGGGAGAGCTATGATCAAAGGGTACTTCAGCAAGCGGAGTGGCAGCGAGAGCGCGCCGCAAGTGAGGCAATGGACAGAAGAGAAACCAACTCCATTCTGCGCTCGCTTGTGAACCAGTTGATTAAGGACGGAACATCGAACGGCGCTGCCGCCGATGATAGCCAAAGATGAGCTTATCGGTGTCGACGAGGTGGACCAAACGGTGACGAGTCCTTTTAGGTATTTTACTCGTCGGGTTAGCGGCAAAAACGGGATTTGAAACCGCGGCGTCTGGCATTCGATCCTATTGGCGAATGGAATCAGAAGCGGCTGGTGTGTGTCGGGTGCAGCAAAGAGTTCGTCTGGCTTGGCAGTTTTGCATCGGCGTTCCCCCCCGACCGCCCTTCCTCACTGCCCCGAGTACCGACCCCTCTTCCATGTATATGCTGCGAGGGCGGGTGGGTGTACATGCACTCTCGACAGTTTTGCATCCATTTTCTTCTTCCGCCCCCCCCCACCCTCTTCTGTGTACATCCTGGTGCAATGTGTGACCATACCTGTTCTCTTCGTTTGGAAGATTGAATTTTTTTTTTTTTTTTTCCCCGGAAGGTGGAATACTAGTCATAAGGTTTTGAAGTCTTGTGGCGATGCAACAGTGCGGTGTGCATTGATACACCAGTGGGGCCTGGTGCTGACTCTGCATGCAAGGAACCTGCACTCTTTTACGCCCAGGTTGGATAGAGTGTGAAACCAAGTTGGCAGTCCCACAATGCTGGAGGCGTACAAGAAAGCGCTGAGAGGATCTGTTAATGAGAACCTGAACTCTTTTACGCCCAGGTTCATGCTTTCCGTGCATGAACATAGCACCAGTGGGGGCTGGCGCGCTGACTCTGCATGCAAGGAACAAATACTAGTTATAGTGTCAGGGAAACTTCATTGAGGAAGATATGTTGTGCTACGAGGATCTGTTAATGAGACAACAGGAGGGCCAGGTTCATGTTTTTGGAGCATGAACCTGGACTCTCGTTGATGGCCAGGTTCATGTTTTTTAAATGCAGGAACGTAAGACCAGTGGGGCTCGGCCCTGACTCTGCATGCGAGGAACAAATACAGTTATGGAGTTCAGACTCCAGAGTGTTTAAAGGGCCAGGTTCACGCTTTTGGAGCATGAACCTGGAGTCTTTAATGGCCAGGTTCATGCTTTCCATGCATGAACATAACACCAGTGCGGCCTGGCCCTGACTCTGCATGCAAGGAACACATACTAGTCGTAGTGTTAAAAGGATCCATTGAGGGAAAAAGATACACAGTGCTAAGTGGATCTGTTAATGAGACAGAGGGCCAGGTTCATGTTTTGGGAGCATGAACCTGGACAACTTTTATGGCCAGATTCCCACTTTCCGGGCATGAACATAGCACTAGTGCGGCATGCCCCCGACACTGCAGGCAAGGAAGAAATGCTAGGAATAGTGTTGAGAGAATCCATCGAGGAAGACATGTAGTGCTAAGAGGATCTGTTAATGATACAGAGGGGGCCAGGTTCATGCTTTGGGAGCATGAACCTGGACCATTGCATGGCCAGATTCGCGCTTTCCAGGCATTAACATAGCACCAGTCAGTGTGGCTTGGCCCTGACTCTGCTTCCAAGGAAGGAGTAGCGGTTATATCGTTCAGACTCCAGAGGGTCCATTGAGGGACGTAACTCTGCAGCCAAAGGAGCACTTCTCATTTCGGTCTAACGACTGTTGAGGTCCGATCGGATCATCGGAGCCTCACTTCTCCATTTCGCATCATTGATTGAATGATATATGCGCGGACCTCGATCGGGACCGTTCCTCGGCTGTGGGCCTTCTCGTTCACATCCACATCCACTCAGCGTCCCATGAGCTTCCACCCTCTGGACTGCCCAGTGGGCCTCAACCAGGGAAGTCTGTTTCGCCCCCCCTGCCACACCTTTCATGGGATTGTTTTGGGAGGATGAACCTGGACACATGTACGGCCAGATTCATGCTTGGCCGTCCACTAACATAGCACCAGAGGGCTTGGCCCCGACTCTGCAGAAGATACGAGTACTCGGAAGAAAGTCATGGCTGTGCGCTGTGGGACTATCGATCGGCACCGGGACCGGAACCGCTCCTCGACTTAGTGGGCTGACGCTCCCTCCAATGAGGACAATACGCTGTGGGGAACTCAAAGCAGGCAGTCCACGCGCGCAAACCATGAAGGTCGTGTTGGCCTGAACGGACAAGCAGAATATACTCGCTCGTCGAGGACCGCAGGGTGTCGTCATGGAGGACGAGGACCCCAGGGTGTCGTCATGGATGACCCCAGGGCGATCCGCTCTACTCCCTTGCGGCGCATTGTTTGCAAGTATGTGCAGAAGAGGGGCGGTGGAGAATCCGGAGATGCATGGAGGGGAGGAGTGCGTGTGGGCGGTGGAGGGAGCGAGTGTGTGAGTTGTGTGTGCTCGCTAAATGCAACTCCACAGAAAACGGCGACTGCGACAAACTGTTTCATCATGAGGGCTTTCACTGACTCCGCATGAGGGTAACCCCGACAGATTGCCCCGGATGCAATTAAGGGAAGGGTAAGGTCTCGCTACCTTGCCCAACGCTATTGCTACCAATACCCTTGAGAAACGTGGTCGGCGTTAAGATGCCGACCCTGCAATCCTACTCTGTCTGTGTGTGTGTGTGTGTGTGTGTGTGTGTGTGTGTGTGTTGGCATGCTAACTATACGGCTCCATAATAAAAGCAACTGTGATCGTTGCATTGGACTTGCACCGATTCATCAGGAGGTCGAACGGTGACAGTCTGCACAGGATGCATTTGACTGATGGACAAGGACTCATCGTGTGTGCTTGTGTGTGTGTGTGTGTGTGTGTGTGTGTGTGTGTGTGTGTGTGTCTGTGTGTGTGTGTGTGTGGATGTGTGTGTGTATGCACACGTGTGTGGATATGTGTGTGCGTGTGTGGGCGCGTTGGGCACAGGTGAATTCGAGGATGTGCAGAGGAGAGGTGGTTCTCCTGTGTTTCCTTGTATTCTTTGAGTCTCTTTTCTTAGGGAGTGTACACATACTTGTCTGCAGACTCTGCACACAGTTCCAGTGGCTCGGCACAGGGATAGTTTTTTTTTTTTTTTTTTTTTTTTTTTTTTTTTTTTTTAACACGCCCCCACCAGTGCTAGTGGTGCTGGATGTCTGCAGAGCAAGCAATGAGACTTCCACTTGTTTGTAACTGTGTAGTTGCGTCTTCAACTTCGAAAATGTTTGTAGCAAAGATGTGAAGGGACAAGTGAGGCAGTTTTCTCCTGTACCATTCATTCCCAGTAGCGTTGGCACTATTCTGTTTTGACTCTCGAGGCCTTTCAGCCACCTGGAAGGATTTGCACGCACAGTTCAGTGATAGTTCAGTGATAGGTCAGTGATTGTTCAGTAATTGTTTCAGGGGTAATTTCGCCGGAGTACTTTCGTCAATACTTCAGCCCCACGGACGCTGCATGGCTTTTCCAGAAGAGGGAGCAGCGAGGCCAGGAGGAATCTGACTGCAATGACGTCCAGGTTAGTTTTGTCAATACTTGAGCGAGGAGAGGTTGCATGGTTTTTCCAGAAGAGGGAGTGGCAAGGCCGGGATGAATCTGACTGCAATGACGTCCAGGTTAGTTTTGTCAATACTTCAGCGAGGAGAGGCTGAATGGTTTTTCCAGAACTCTCGAGGGGCAGTGTGTGGACTTAGTAGGGCTTAGGGTATACTCACACTACCCAGCGGTTTCCAGAATGCATCTGACCGTAATTACGGCGAGGGCAGGATGAATTCGACTGCAATGACGTCCAGGGCTTCGTAGAAAAAAAAAAACCTCGTGTGAGTATGCCCTTCGTGTTCGGCATCTTCCCTAGTGCCGCATTCTCTCATTGCTTGCATATGTAACATATAGGCAGGTGGAAAGCAAAAGAGAAAGGGAGGGGGAGGGAGGGGGAGGGAGAGGGAGGAGGGGACACCCAGGCGGATGTCGTTTAGCTGTATCCATAGCCGAAGGAAGAAGATGGACAGGGAACACCTCATAGCCAATTTACGTCCGTGGTGGCGTTTGAGACCTTTGCTATTCATATAGCACTCTTTACCTTTTGGCTATTCATATAGCACTCTTTACTTTTTGGCTATTCATATAGCGCTCTTTACCTTTCGGCTATTCATATAGCACTCGGCTATTCATATAGTACTCTTTACCTTTCGGCTATTCATATAGCACTCGGCTATTCATATAGTACTCTTTACCTTTCGGCTATTCATATAGCACTCGGCTATTCATATAGCACTCTTTACCTTTCGGCTATTCATATAGCACTCTTTACCTTTCGGCTATTCATATAGCACTCTTTACCTTTCGGCTATTGAGTCTGTTGGAGTCCGAACTGACGTCATTACTGATCGCCGGTCTGGCCGAGAATAAGCGCCGAGAAAGCGAAGCAAGGGCGACAGAGGGATCGCTGACAGCAATGAGAGAAAAGGAGGGAAACGCAAGGTCGCCGACATCACTGAGAGAATAGGGAGGGAAAATCCAGGGCGTCCATGAGGGAGAATAGTACCGTTCCGGCAAACATTGAGTGCGAGGAGGAAGGAGGGCAGTGATGAGGGACGGAAAGCACAATTGTGGCAGCGACAGCAACAACGACGGGGATGTTGTCACTACCGTCTTCACCCAAATAGAACGCCGGGTCATTATATAGGAATTTATAGCGGTATTTGGCACAACTTTTGGTCCAGATGCAGGCATAATGACCGGGCGTTCTATTCGGGTGAAGACGGTAGTTGCTCCCAGAGAGGGAGTTTATATATTGACGCAGACGGGGCACGGAGTGCGAATCTGGCGGAGTAACCTCTTCCTGGTGCAGCAGGAAGAGGTTGCGGCAGCATAGGAGCTGGAGAAGGTGCTGGTGTAGGAGGAGGAGGAGGAGGAGGAGGAGGAGGATGGAAGATGAGGGCGGGATGAAGTCTGTCTTTCAAAATCTTGTCTCGCATCTCAAGTCGAAGGATTTGCTGTGAAAGAACGGAGGAGGGAGAGGAAGAGAAATGGGATGGCGTAGGAGGAGACGGAGGAGGGGAGGGGGGGAGGGGGGGGAGATGCAGGTGGAGGTTGGAGGAAGGTCTATGGGATCTTTGACTCTTCCAAGGACTTGAAGGAAATTTTGGCTGAGGAGTGGGAGGAGGAGGGGGGGGGGGGGGGGGGGGGGGGGGGGGGGGGGGGGGGGGGGGGGGGGGGGGAGCAGGAGGTGGAGGAGCATGAAGCAAGGTGTCTGCGGTCTTTTGTTCTTCCAGCTTTCGCCTTGAGGGAAATTTTGTGTGCGGACTCTGCGGAGCAAGGGCTTTCTTTGTAAATCGTCGTGTCTGCTTCCTGCATCGAGAAATGCGGCGGCGGTCCCCACCACAGTCTGATAAGATTCATAAGAAGGAACAAAGGCCTCTGCTTTTTCCAGTTGCGCCTTTGGCTCCTGCTTTGGCGATAGAGCAGACGCTTTGCGTCTGCTAGGGTATTAAACAAGTGCAGTTGCTGACGTCAACCTGGCGATTGCCGAACTGCAACTGCAGATTATCAGTGCATGAGATCTCAGCTGTTGTGACATCTCCTAAAAGGGAATGTAGAAAGAAGATGTTGGGTGAGGTAGGGGGCATTATAAGAAGATTGTATATGTACAGACTGGGGACGCTCGAGAAAGGGTGGCAATTTCTTGGCCCCCTCCACCCCCTTAAAGGGTGGCAATTTTCAGCATACGGCAGATGTTCATTTCTGGATGATCATTTACGTCATGGCGACAATATGACAAAAGTGCGGCAAAGATGGTGTGGAGGGTAATCGGTGGGTCGGTGGCAATGCCATTGGCCCGGGGGAGTAGGCGGGCCAGGGGGGGGGCTGTCTCTTATACACATCTAGATGTGTATAAGAGACAGGTTCATACTAGACTCGTCAATTCTTAGAATTTTTAAATATTTTTTCTCTTTTTTTTTTTCTTTTTTTTTTTTTCGGTTTTTTTTTTTTTTTATCAATCTTTATTTTTTTTTTTCCTTTTTGTTTGATAATTTTGATCAACCAAAAAAAAAAAAAATCAAATTCCCTATCGAAGGTTTT